TCATATTTTTATACGACCGCAAAATATTGGTATGACATTGGCGTCCTCGTCGTTGTCCGAAGACACATTGGTTTTCGCACTCTAACTTTAGTTTAAATGAATGGATCTCTATGAAATTTTACCATAAGGTTCAATACCACAAAAGGAAGGTTGGGATTGATTTTGGGGGTTATGGTACCAACAGAAGGAATAAGGGGCCAAAAAGGGGCCAAAAATAAGCATTTTTGTAACTTCCAGACATAACTTGTGTGTTAGTGTATGGATCTCTCTGACATTGTACCACAATGTTCCATATCACAAAGGGAATGCTGGGATTGATTTTGGGGGTAATTGCCTCAAAATTTTAGGAATTAGGGGCCAAAAAAGGGGCAAAAAACAAGCATTTTTCTAGTTTCATGACAATAACTTGTGTGGAAGTGTATGGATCTTTCTGAAATTGTACTACAAGGTTCCATATCACAAAGGGAAAGCTAAATTGAGTTTGGGGGTATTTGCCCAAAACGTTTAGGAATAAGGGGCCAAAAATAAGCATTTTTCTAGTTTCCTGACAATAACTTGGGTGTAAGTGTATGGATCTTTATGAAATTGTACTACAAGGTTCCATATCACAAAGGGAAATCTGGGTTTGAGTTTGGGGGTAATTGCCCTAAACATTACGAATTTGGGGCCAAAAAGAGGCAAAAAAAACAAGCATTTTTCTAGTTTCCAGGCAATAACTTGTGTTCAAGTGTATGGATCTCTCTGAAATTGTACTGCAAGGTACCATACCACAAAGGGAAGGCGTGGATTGAGTTTGGGGGTGATGAATCATAAGGGGGTTCAAAAAATTTGGGGGGGGGAGTGTTTTTTTTTTCTTCCTTTTTTTTTCTTTAAAATTTTCCATTTTAAATTGGTTATTTCTGATTTATATATAAAAGCAAATAATAATGATATGGTTTAAATAGGTAAATTAAAAATTTATAAGTTCTTAGACCACATTCATTCTGTGTCAGAAACCTATGCTGTGTCAAATATTTAATCACAATCCAAATTCAGTGTGTATCAAGCTTGAATGTTGTGTCCATACTTGCCCCAACTGTTCAGGGTTCGACCTCTGCGGTCGTATCAAGCTGCGCCCAGCGGAGCATTTTATTACTTATATTATAACAAAAGTTACCCAAATGACCCCTTTGGCATTCAAGGAAAATTAAAAATGCACAGGGAGAGTTTTGACTTAAAAAACATTATAAGTGGGATAATTTTCAGTAACATACTGATACACTATTTTAAATACACTTATATTTATATAGAATAGTGTACCAGTATGTAATTGTATATATATGATTACTGTTTTGAACTTAACATTTATGTTTTATAGGGACAGTTTTAGTGATCAGTACAGTAGTACTTGGTGGAGTATTGTGTGTTACAACTGTGTTGGCCTGTAGCTTGAGTGGATTTGCTGTCCTATCATATTATGGGATACAGTATTCCTACAAATTGTTGAAGAAAACATTTCCATCATTTTTTGAAACTGAAGAAGGTCCTGATTCTACAAAGAAGTAAAATTTAATGTCCAAACAATGATGAAGTTTTTATAAATTTGCAATGCATAATAATTGTATTACATGTAGTTCAATAAGTGTTGTAATCTCGGTAAAATCATTGATTTTTTTTTCAAATTTTGTTGTTAATTATATTTTTTATGTTTAATATAAGTTTTCAGAATAAAATTTACTTTCAATGATCGACTCATTTTAAAAAAGAACATGTTTCCATAAGAGACCATATACCAACTCACATTATCACATTTCCATGTTCAGTCAACTTCAGTGAACTGAAGAATCTGGGTCAAATCCCTAATTTGACATATATTTTTTTGAATTCACATCATAATCAACATGCTTACTAAATTTCATGTTGATGTGACTGCAACTTCATGATAAACTACCTTAGATGAAAATTTAAACCTGATATGGGACGGACAACCTACCCTTAATATGCATGGACCGAATAACAAACAGATACACTGACTTGAAAACATAATACCCCTCCCATTCTTTCCTTCCCCATACAATAGAGGTATTACTAATACATGTACAAATAGATCTACCTAGGTCACTCAGCCATACCTTTCTTAGATGTTTGTATTCATGTAATTTTGATGCCACACCAAGGTGTTTGATATTTTGATGTGGAACTGATATCAAATCATCTACCTCATTGTTATATATTTTTAGGTGACCTTTTCTCATCACTTGGCAATCACAAGAATGGCTGTTTATCAAAGGTATACACATGTACCACACTTTACCTGAATTGTCACTTAAAGAACAATTTAAAGTTTGTGATCCTGTCCCTGTCAACCAATTATCATGGCTGTCATTACTTCAAAAACAGAAAATTGATTGAGGTGTAAAACACACAAAATGTCTTTTTTCAATGGCCACAAGTTTCACGATTGAGCTAATTTTATGGTATAGATGTGAAATCTGTATTTCAATAACCTTCAATTTTCATTGCTACCGACTCACAGTTGACCTTATGTCATCTCATGGAATTTAAAAATAACTAGAAGCTCCCAGGAGCCTGAATTTTCACCAATCACCAAAGTAGAAACTTGTAAAACAGAATTATAGAATTACAGGAATAGATTACCATGGCTGTATTTGGCAAAACCTTTTGGAATTTTGATTCCTCAATGCTCTTTAACCTAGTACTGTAAATTCAGAAATTATTGCGAGGTTTTTATTATTGCGACAAATGCGACAGAGTTGTAAACGCAATAATTTAAACTCGCATTTTGAAATATTTTATATGAACTCAACAGGATTTTTCTCAAAATCTTAAAAATTCAAATCGCATTTAAGTCTAAAATGACAAAATCGCAATAATAAATGCACGCAATAATTTCTGAATTTACAGAACTTTATTTGCCTTTTCATTTTTTTTACTCAAGTGTCACGGATGCCTTGTGTAGATGAATCGTGTGTCTGGTCAAAATTTTAAGCCTGGTAGCCCTAGTATCTTTGATGAGTTTTTTCAAATATAATTTGCAGAGGCAATGTTTATTCAGGGTTAAAGGATAATGTTTAAAGTATTTGCTATATATTTGCCCTCTTTGACATCAATGTTTAAAGGTATGGCCTTTGTTTGACAAGGAGTCAAAATTCTGAAAGCACTCAATGTGAACCATATTTATACCAAAGTTGATTCAAATTGGATAAGCTATGCTTGTTGCTTGAGCCATAATAAGCATAATTTTAAAAATTGACATTCTAAGGATAATAGCAATAGCTATTCAATTAAAATGAATGTGGTAGGGAAGGAAGGAATGAAAATTTTATATTCAGACATTGGTCATATGTCATTTATGGTTACATAAATAAAGTATTTTGGTAGTGGGGAATATTGGAATTCCCTTCCAACCCTCCCAAATCCATTTTAATGGAATAGCCAAGACTATTTTGGTGCTAACCTGCCTTGAAGTTTCCGATAAGACAATTTAGAAGCTTAGTCAAGCATTTTCAATGAATGCCTTTCAAGTCCCACAAAAGGGGTCATGTATTCAAAATAATGGCAAAAAACAAGTGTGCATTCACTTAAATGTCTCACCAGATTTACTTATCATGATTGAACTTTTGTTGAAAATCTGTTATATGAAGGTATTACTACAAGTAGCACATAAACTTAACATTATCAATAATCCATGTAAATGAAGTCAAGGTCAAAGGAACCCTGCCAGATAGACATGTACACCTTACAATCATACCATACACCTAATATATTTAGCTTATTGCTTAAAGTAACTGAAAAACAGACCTAATTACGAAAACTGAACATTGACCAATGAAACATGAAAATAAGGTCAAGATCAGATGAACCATGCCAAACAAACATGTACACCTTACAATCATTCCATACACCAAATATAGTTGACATATTGCTTATAGCATCTGATAAACTTAACTAACCATTAAACTTAACATTGACCAATGAACCATGAAACTGAGGTCAAGGTCATATTAAACCAGCAACATACATGTACACCTTCACAATCATAGGTTTTTACTCGAATCATGTTTTTCACCGGGAAAGATAGTCAATTATGCATGCCCTTATGACGTCATTTACCAGATTATGAGATAGAAGGCGCGCCTGCACAATTAAAGTTTCAAGCATCTTCAGGATCTTCATTCTGCAGGGTAGTCTAGAAATAATTTATGTTCCATAGGTACGTGATCTCAGTCCTGTACGACTAAAGGGAGGGTGACCAACTTATTAGATTTTAATTTTTCCAAATATTTTGTGCATTATAGCATCAAACTTTTTTACCCATAAGCCCAACATGTGTTGGAAGTGACTATACCTACATTTTGGTTACATGGTGATGGAAGTCACATGACAGATTTAACTAATTACCATATCTCGGAACTGTCGTAATCTGAAAACTGATATGCTAAATATAGTGACCCTAGTAAATGTCTATCCATTGTTACATGCAAGTCATGATGACCTACATTTTTTTTCCAAAAAGACTTCATTACCTTTGTATTTGGATCATCAATATTGATGTTTCCATGATGCTTTAACACAATAACCATAAAATAGAAAACTTAGTTAAGGGAGCTACCATTTGATTTTTATGGGGGGGCTAGGATGAAAAATTTTGTCCTGCTTTTTTTTTTAGTTGTAATCTCTGTCCTGCCTTTTTATTTTTTACTCTATTAGGTCCTTCCTTTTTTTTACTAGTTTTATGCTGAATTTTTTTACACAAATTGTCATCCTCCCTTTTTTTTTTACCAAGTTGCTCATCCTGCCTTCTTTTTTACTCAAAACTCCTGTCCTGCCTATTTTTTTCAAATTTCATCCTAGCCCCCCCCCCCCATAAAAATCAAATGGTAGCTCCCTAATAAAGAATTCAACATTTTGAAATATATTTGCAAATATACAGAAACAAAATTCTTAGATATCAAGTATGATCTAGACAATAATACCACTGACATATATAAGAATACAACTTTATACAATTGTTAGTTTATTCAATAGTCAATACAAAAGTAACATAAATTTAAATTGTTCTAAATTTAAGGTCATATACACTGCCTACAGTCTGTATCTCAAGTTTTACTGGACATTTTAATAAACATGACAATAACTCTTCTGTATAGCCAACCAAAAAGTAATATTTCATTGGTCTTAATACACAACTCATGATACAACTTATAAGAACTATATTATGTCTACGTTTAACAATCACATCAGATGCAAGAACACCAGGGAAAGTTCCTTTCATGAATTCACGAATAAAATTGTCGTCCACAACTGTTTCTGGTGCTCTACCTTCTCCTTCCAGACTACCTGAAATAAGAAAATGTCATGGTATGTGAATATTTAAGTCACTGATGTTTCACATAAAGAATTGCCTGTTTTATTTATCTGACATCTACTAATGTAATGTGGCCATATTTAACGTCATTCTGCCCACATTAATAGCTGACTGAAATATAACTGTTTTTACAAAAATGAGCTCATTTATGTATAATGGCTTGTTTAATATCAGCTGCCAATGGTGAATTATTTTAAATCAATTCTAGATGAATAATTCTGAATGTGATTAGAAGCAGGTGTGGAACTAGGATTTTAAATGGCAACCCGCAAGACAACGTAAGGAGTGAGACTTGTAAAAAGTCTATGCATTAACCATATATTTAGCTCCAAAATGGAGGCACTCGGTATCACTTTTCATCTATTTCATGGAATATTTTGTAATTTACAAAATTTCAGATATATAAATGATGGAATATCACTTGTCTTTAGGGTCATCAACCATATATACAAACATGTACATGTAATTCCAAATGAGGATCATAAATGTATACTTTCTCTAAGTTTCATAGCAATTATCCTTTACATACTTTTTCAGCAAGCCAAAAGTCTGAAAATGAAGTGATTTGTGTTAAAACAGTTATATTTCAGTTAGCTATTACCAGTAATGTGGGCAGAATGATGTTGAAAATGGACACTTTACATTAATTAGCATTATCTTGAAAAAAAGATAATATAAAAATTAAAACATGTAATTCTAGCTAAAAAGAATTGTTCCTATTTACAGTATAAACAACAAGTATTCAGACATTTTTTTTTAATCTTTAACAACAGATCTCTCCACTGGCTCAAGCAATTGACAAGGTTAAATATTATGTTTGGTTCAGAGTATGTCAAAACATGTTCCTTTGTTAAAAATAGACATTGAGATATTTAAGGTTGATAATTTATAACTGATAATTCATCCTTGCAATTTGCTGTTTCAGAACCTATAGGACTATTGGGTATTCATTGTTCAGGAACATTATAAATAATACAAATTTTGTGACTATGGAGTCGAAATGGTCATAGAATAGAGTAATGACATATGTTTATTATAAAGGTTAGGGGATAGAACAACAAAAGCCTTATTAGTCCCAATTTTCTATTCTATTTACCATGTTCAAATATCTTGGGGTTAGAAAGTTCAAACTATATAATTCCCAATGATGACAAAAAACTTATCATAACTCTTCATCAATATTTCATTAAATTTTTTATCAAATATAATGTTTCCTTAAGTGGTTTAAGGTTGCACTGTGGTTTCAAAGGAGAATTTTTAATTTAGTGATGAATGAAAGACATTAATTGTGATGGTCAAAGGCATGAAAATAGCTAATATTGACTCTTTGTACAAAAACAGTTTTTAGTTGTGAGCAATCTGATTTTTTTTTGTACCCATCGCTTTGCATACAAGGATCTGAAACCACTCTGTATAATCTTTTCTGTTAGAGAACAGAAACGAAAAATTCAGCATTTTTTTCCTTTTGAAAAGGGGCATAACTCTAGAACAGTAGAAGTGACGTCACCAAAATTCAAACTTGATCTGTGTTTTGTGGTAATAAGCATTGTGTATAAGATTCATCACATTTCGTTGAGGCAAACTTAAGTTAGAGAAAAGACACGAAAAATTCAGCAATTTTTCCATTTGTAAAGGGGCATAACTCTAGAAATGTGAACGTGACGCCACCAAAATTCAAACTTGATCTGAGTTTTGTGATAATAAGTATTGTGTATAAGTTTTATAACATTTGGTTAAAGCAAACTTAAGTTTGAGAACAGAAACCAATTTCGGGATGACCAGACGGACTGACAAGGGTAAAACTTAATGCTCCCCCGCTACCGCCAGAGCATAAAAATGTGCTAATAAGATTGAAATTCCTTTATCAATTGTTTTTCTTAATTGTTTCAGACACATGATGCACCTTAAGGCGATTTCACAATAAATTTATAGTTGGGGTCCAAAACAATTCATCTCTTATTAATTAAAAGGTCATTATTGCTAACTGCTTTGTTTTCCTTATATGATTTATAACTTAACATGACAGAGCACACAGAAGAAATTATTGCCTTTTTAATTACCATGATTAGGTAAGACCCTATATTCTAATTACTATCTTTTCTTAAAAATATTCACACATGACATAAGTATTGTCATAATTTATTGGTTTATATACAGGCTCTTTAAATTATACCACCATGCAAACAATTCTAAATTATTAAGACCTATACATGCTATATATATTTGATCTGGTTTATTTTCAAATAGAACAACCTCCTTTCATATTTGATTAGAAGTGCCATCTGACCCCTTTCACTCCTAATGAAAATATGTCTGAAAAAGCCCCGAGATGGTCAAATGATTTCAGTAATAATACACACTTGAGTTCCAACTTTTCCATGATTTGGTAACTCCTATTTTTGGAGGTGGTTGTGCTTCTTCATAAGTTATCCACACATCTCCTCTTCGTGTTGTCTTATAAACTCCAGCTCTTACATTACGTAAAGGTTCAGATCCTCCTAAACTTCTTTTGTAACAGGCTAACGATGTTGAGATTCCTCTCACTGGACAGGTAGTAATACATCTTGATCCTACAAGCTAAAACAGACATAATTTTTAATTTCAGAAGAGAAGAGCAGAAAGAACAAGCTTTACAACACAAAACTATTCATACCGTATATTACATATTTCTAGTGGTCCTGATATAGTGTATGCCTCCAAAAGTCAAAGTCCAACAACTACCTAAATAAAAACATTGGTAGTGATCCTGATGCTGTTATAATGTTTCTTTTTATTGTAAGAGTAAAACCTAACACATCAGGTAAGGAGACAACAGAGGGCCATACTGAACTTCTTATAACTCATTTAATTTACTATTTTAGAGTTTTGTTTGGTTTTATCTGATTATTTTAATTTTTAATACATAGTCCTCCTTTTGGACTGGGGAAAGCAGACACTATATAATATGTGCCCATTATTCTCACTTAATAATCCTAAATATTTAATGCAAATATTGAGTATCAAAAACTATTTTAACCCTGCCACATATTCATGGTTTTCTTCCTTCCAAGTGATGAAATTGTCCGTGGTTGCCTTATGTCTTCATGATCATATCTTAGGTTTTTAATTACATTGTAGGTTAAATTTGGTGTCGATAGCAGATCCTTGATAGTTTCCTCAAAATTTTTATAAGACTCAAAAGAAACAATTTAGAGTACCAACATATTGTATAGAAATCTGTTTATCTTTGAAGACTGTATGCTGTCCTCTAGATGTGTTTTGGTTGTTTTATGTTGGGTTGCTGTCTCATTGATTTTACCCTACATGTATATCTCCTTTTATTCATTTACATATTAGTATGTTGCAAATTTAACCATAGGTTAGTATTGTTTTTTTTATTATTTTTCACCAGTGTTTATTATTAAATCTAATCATATGATATAATTTAAATTTTATCATACATGAACTTATGTTTTGAATCTTATTTTCTCTTTTTTTTTTTATTTGTGAATACCGGTAGTCAATTTTTTTAAAACAATTATTTTACCTATATATGACAAAATACTATTTAGATACATATTCTCTCAAAGAGAGATAATCCATGCGTGCTGAAGTGTCATTAAACTGCTATCAATTAACTAACAGCATTCATCCTATACACCTTATACTTGTATGACAATACTGGGGTAACAGTTTTCAGTTTCAGTTTTCAGTTTCACTTATTTGATTTGTATTTAGTATTTACAAATTATAGTAAATGTACATGTTATATATATTATTATCTGTTTTGTTGTCTAAAATAATGTCTTATATTGTAATATGCTCCTTGTGAGCCCATTTAATGGAAATAAAACATCTGTTTCACTTGAACTGTTTTATCTTTGTGTATGACTCATTGAACTATATAGTTGTTAATGGAATATATGCGTAAAAATTTGTTTTTGCTATTAATGTATATAAGCCTAAGGACCTCAGAGTAGAATATCTAATTGTACATGTAACTAGTACTACAACATGTACACAGTGACACGTAACTATTTTTAGTTGCTTACTGTTACATTCTTACCGATATAATAACAAGTGAAACCACTTACCAAATTTATGTAAAAAATTATCATTTATTGTACAAGTCATGTGTCATTCCACATGCAGTTATTTGATAAATTCTGGTATTTCGGATCTGCTTTCATAGAATAAAGTATAAGAATTGTGCTTCAAATCCATTTTTTGTTTTTCTTTTTTTTAGACATTGATTATTTGGAGCATATCTAAAGTAAACCGTTTCTTTTTCTGTATCAAAATTCAGAACATGAATCTCACTACAAAGTTTTATTAGAACAGCATCAGTTACAGTATCAAGAGACGAGTCCAACTATTTTGCCTATAATCTGTTATCTGAATAGTTTAGAACTGTTCATCTTTAAGAGAATATGCTACATTTTTCATAAATATGTTTCATTTTAAGTACAAATTGTGAATAAAAAAAAGGTTTTCCAAATTCACACTTTAAAAAAATCAATTTTGAGGGATAGTACAATGTAACTCATTTCCAATTGCACATGTTCACTATCTATTTATTATCTATAGTTATGTTTATATCGGGTTATATTACCGTCAGCAGTCTTCAGATCACATCGATGGTAAATTAGATGGCAACTAGACTAAAATACACATGAACTGCTGATACATATTATCGAGTCCATGCATTGTAAATTGCTTATTTCTAATTTTTAGAATTTGGATATACATTTTAGTATGTTTAAAATCAAATGTGAGAATTTGAGTCAAATTGATGAACACAAATTTGACAGAAAATGTACCTTTAAGAGCATATGATACAGTTTTGATCCTATGGTGAGTTTTTTTACCAAAAAGTTGCATACAAGTTAATATCTTTAATCATGATGAAAAAAAATGTTGAAAACTTAAGTGAATTTTTTATGTCCAAAGACCATAACTCTGCACAAAATCATCAGACCGGAACAAAATTCGAACTTGATCTGTAACTTGTCATGATAAAACTTTATACTAATTATCAAATCAATATCTTCATGAATGACAAAAAAATAAGTGTGGAAAACTGATTATTTTAGTGAATTTACACATGGCCTGGGCGATGATATTCGATAATTTTATCCCTCGCTAACATTCAGGATAAATTTGGATATCATGGCCGAGGCCATGTGTAAATTTTCTACAAATCTATGGCTTCCATGAATTATTTCTTAAATGAAATATATCCTTTATCAAAAATAGATAATTATCTAAATAAAAGAGTTCACTTCATCCAAAAAAAATATCAATATATAGCATTTAGAAAATTAATTTATACAGAATCAATAACAAACAAACCTACCACTAAATTCTTCAAACAATTTACCAAAGAAAAGGGAACAAATCCTAAACGTCATTTATCATTAATAAAAATATCTTTCAAAAATCTTTTAAAAAATGAGTTATTTCCCTTTGAACAGAAATCTAGTAATTAATAAGTATTTTGTCAAAAATTTAATTCTAGGGAAAGGTCTTTAACTGAACAAGGAGAAAAGCTAAAATCGTGAAAATTGAACTTGACCTGTAACTTGTCACGATAAAACAATACACCAAATATCAAATCAATATTTTCAAGCATGAAGAAAAAAAGTCTGAAAAACTGATTTGCCAGACTGACAGATGGACAGACAGACGGACAGACAGACGGAGGGAGTGCAAACCTAAAGTCCCCTTCGACTTCTTCGGTAGGGGACTAAAAAAAGAGGGTCAATGTATTCATTTTCAAGGTAATGATTAAAATCAGTAAAAAAAAAATTTTTTCCCGATATGTCACAGTTTGACATCACGAAAAATAACATTTTACGTTAGCAACGTCTTTACCTCTCCTGTAACTGTATTATATGCCCTTAACTTTTCTCAATCAGTTTTCCATGTTTTATTTGAATCTAATGTAGTTTATTTATTAATTAATTACAGGTGATTTGTATTTGTTTTATTTATTGTTGTATATATCTAAGAGACCAGAATAAGGAAGCTGTCAGAGAAATCATCCAGTTTTTATTTTTATACATGCGATACTAATTTTATCATTCTGTATTTCTATGAGATGCAAATTAATTCCCTTTCTCAAGCAGTGTCAAGTATTTATATTGTACCAAATTCATTTAATTTTTTTTCATAATGCTTATGTCTAATATGACATACATGTAGGCAGTAAGGTTTGTTTGTATTACAAAAATTACAACTAAATAACAAGAAAAAATATAATCATCTGTATGAACAATTTTAAATCATTTTGTGTTTGAATTGTAACGTTCTTAGTTCTGAAGTTTTGTCAAATTATCAATGTATAATAATTTCTGGAAGTCACAAAAAGATAAACCAATTAATTTCATCATATAATTAAATATTCACACCTTGATATAATAAATTTTATGGATGTTAAAAAGATTAACCAATTGATTTAATCATGTCTTAAAATTTTCACACCTTGATAATTGGCATGATTGGGTTACGTTTATTACTTTTACTGTTAAATATGACTTTATGATGACTTTAAACATGTTAAAATGTTATCCCATATTTAATAATTTAAAGGGGCATTAGCTTCAAGATATAAAAAATATGATTTTATTTGTTCAACCTTTAATGAAAGTGAAATAGTGAAATAATAATTCGCTTTTAGCAGCCAGTTTGGTTCAATTTTGTCAAAATAAGCAAAGAAACATCACTGATGAATTATTCACTTGCAAGTAAATTATTTGACCTTATTGAATCCGTATTCATGTCACCTTCAATTTAACCTCTTAGCTAAGTTGGGTTTCGAATGAATAAGGCATGTTCAGTTATTTAAAGGAAAATAATGTCAACATTGAAAGTGAAACAAGGGTAAACCATTTGATTGACTGACTCGCTTCACAAAAACTCATTCTTATACACATGATACAGCTATATTTATGTTTACTTCGAGTTAAGTGACTGTCAGCAATCTTCGGAGGTCACCTCGATTGTTAATTAGATGGCATCTAGATTAAAATACAAACAAATGTACATGTATTATCGAGCCCATGCATTGTTAATTGTTTATTTTAGACTTTTTATAACTTGGATATACGCTTTAGTATGTTATAAATCAAATATGAGAATTTGAGTCTAATCGTTGAACATGAATTTGACAGCTAATGTCCCTTTAAGTTATATATTTAAAAAAAAGTTAAAACTAAAAATATCAATGTAATTTTAATTCCTTTTTTATGGCATTTCTGGATGCATTAATCATAGTTAGCAGATCCTTCAACATTCCAGATCATGTACTAGAAGAGTCGCTGCAAGATGAGTCCATGGAGATGTCATTGTTGAACTTGACCACAACCCAAACACAGAGTACCATGTTCTTGACTTTGGTAGCAACCATGGTAACATTAAGCTTGATGACACTGATGTTTTTATTGTTTGCCTATAATACTCTTTTCTTCATTTTAGCCTATATAATTCTCTTTTTCTATGCCCATTTTTCTCTATTACTTAATTTATTGTTTGTCAATTATTCTCTATTTGTGATGCTTGTCTGTGGTTAAAGTTAAAAAGTATGTTTTTGTCCTCATTTAAAGGCTAAAAAGAGGAAATTTCCACTTAAAAGACCCTCTAAGTCTTACTGTGGAAGTGTGCCTCGAGTTAAAAATTGGAAGAAAGATATATATTCACATTTACAGTGAGTGCTGAAATAACTACATCAGCTCAAGTGCTAAATTAACCATGTGCCGATTGGACTTTGTTTAGAAGTTACTATTCAGGGTGAGATTGGACCATTGCAAACTCATACCATGTCAACTTGTACCAATGTAAACTCGTACCATTGCAAACTCATACAACTGCAAACTTGTTCCATTAAAAAGATACAATATACAAATGTTTAATTTGTTTTTGCAAATCTCATCTTTATTAAAAAATGTATTGATTTTCTTGAATTTCTTAATTACTAGTACATATTCTAGTACCAATTAGCCAAGGAACAATCAGCTATAAATTGGTCATTGTGACTTTCAAATTATATACTTTTTACAGACTAATAAGTTATTCAGTTAAATCAAAATATATATTCAACATCTAACACCATTTTAGTGCATGAACATACGTTGGTTCGAGTTTACAATGGTACAAATTTACTGTGGTACGAGTTTACCTTTAGTGGTACGAGTTGACCTTGGTACAAGTTTGCCATACCTGCCAACTTTTCAAAATCTCCATGGGGGATTTTAAGTGCAAGAGGACTTAATGTTCCTCTCATATTGTCATAATTATTCTTAATCTACTACCATATTGTTTGAATGAGTATATATATATATATATGTGCTTAAATACCCATTTAATTCATTTTAAAGCCTGTTTTGAGGCATTCAGTTTATATAATAAAGAATTTCAAAATTCAGGTCAGCACCTCTCGTTGGGGATATCCCCCATAAATCGGGACAGTTCAATAGTTGGCAGGTCTGGTTTGCAATGGTTTGAGATAACTATAATTCCAAGATTGAGGAGAGCTCTTTGACTGGTAGTCCCCTACTTGCTAAAGTGTCATTTGTCTTATTTAGTTTAATTGCTAAAGTTCCTTTATTAAGATAAGCACCCTGCCCATTTCGGATCATGACTGGAACACTTCCAAATAGAAACAAATGTTTCAATGAATTAATTAATATTTCTGCATAGTATAACCTATTTAACTATTTCATGTCATTAATATTGTATATGTATGCTTCAATGTGATGATTTGTTTTGTGTAGCTCTTGTGTATGTAGTATGCTTGTTTTGTTTGTAATAAGACAATATAAAAGCTCAATAGAGCTTATGTTTTCTGTATACTGATATTCGTCTATATATAAAGCTTTTGAACTTGAACTTGAAAATAAATATGTACATGTACAAATTATCTAAAAACATATATACATTGTAACTATAACATGTATCCTCGATGAAGTTCGTTACCCTAACTCGAAAAGGAAGAAAAAAATCACAACCTTGGAGCAACTATTATCCACTGTGAATGTAAATATTCTTTACTTATTTGCAAACAGTTTGATGCAATTTATTGATGAATAGCTTCAGAAACATGGTCAATCTGTCTATGATTCGTATTGTGACCCGATTCCGTAAAATAAGTAGACATGCTTGTAAGTTCGTGACTTTGTCTTGGACGTTGGCTTTTGCGCATGTGCAACAATATATAGGTCAGGCCTATTATATAATAATAATAATAATAAATTCTTTATTTAAAGAGGGTAAACACAGTTAGTTACAATTACTAATCTTCCCTGAGGCCCTCATATACAATACATGTAAAAAATAATAATAAAAGTCAAAAAAGCAAACATACAACATATTAACACAATCGTATTGTATTATGTATTTGAGCATTACATAATAAATTTGAGATCAAATAACAAATGAATATCTCGAGAAAAAAAAAGAGAAATTGGGGCATACTAAATTTTGTATTCTCCCTACAACAAATATTCTAATTTTTACACGTGACTTTCAATGGTCAATTAGAAAGTCCAGAATAAAACAAGTTAAACACATTTAAGATAACTACAACGATGTCACAATGTGAATTAATGCATCAAAGTATTTTTTCATTCAATTTGCACTCAATACCATATGATTAAATTTACTTTACGAGCCAATATTCCATAGGTTTTGTTTTATCAAAATAAATCAAATCATTTTCTGATCTTAAAAAATCCGCTCACATACAAACTTTGAAAAATAATACCCTTTGCCTTAAAAAAAGAAAAAGAGCGCCACATAACCTAAAAATAGATGACTCATTGTTGAGATGTCCAAAACATTGCTGAAAGGATTTTCCCAAGAAATCAACGAAATTCTAGGATAGGAGTAAAACAGTCATAGTGGAAATAGACGTTTAAACAAATAATATGCAAGAACATACACAACTTCTCTTTTTAAAGCTGATATTAGTAAAAATGCAATGCAAAATATCCGGTTAATTTTTTTTGAAGTAGCACATTGCCGATGATAAATACTTATGCATGACGTCACAAATAAAGTGGAAATCCCCAATTGTCACGAACTTACAAGCATAACGAACTTGCAATCGACGATATAGAATAAGAATAAGAATATTTTATTTCCAATTAAAGGGCCCTATAAAGAGCTTTCATCACATTACATACAAGTACATAAGATTAGAGATAAATTAGAGACATACAATTTACAAATGTATAAGAAAACAACATCGTTTAATACTATTGAAAAATGCTATAAAAGGCCAGGACAGAACAAGATAATACAATTCACATCTTTGAAATATACCATTCAAAATCATATACCACTCAAAATATGTGTATTTGTGGCTAATTTGCATTTATTATCTTTGAACTTCTCCTTCTCTCAAGATTTTTAGATAAATACTTTCCCAAACATTTATACATATTTAAATTTTCTTGTGTAAATAGCCATGAAAACTTTGAAAAATTGTCGAAAGATTGAAAATTATTACAAGTTAGAGAAATTTCAGTAAAAAACTCATTTCTGTTAACATATATGATGATTTATAGTGATATAAGATGGGATTATGAGGATAGTTCACTTCAATGTCATATTTTTCGTAATTATCTGTTCAAATTGTTATCCTGTTAATTGCTATATTTCAGATATCTAGAAGTGTTATTCTAATCTAAAATATGCAAATGTAGAAAGGAGCGAGAAAATATGAATTTACCAAACTTCTGCATACGGACATTCTGGTAAAATTTAACCGGAAGTGACTGACACCGAACGGTTTTAAGAGAGGACTTTTGATTGGCCATTTCTGAGAAATTACCAATGAGGATTAAGGTATCATTTGTAAAAGAAACGTCATTTACTTCCATTTTGCTTCGTGTACAAAGCAGTCAACGTAAATATCTCAATATTTACACAACATATTGTTGTGAAAGACAATTTCATAAAAAGATGTAAGTCTTAAACCCTAATGACAGATCTGAATAATTTTTGGTAAATAATTTTTTGTGGAAAAATAGCTTTCCTATGTTTAGACGTCTGATTCCATAGTTCATTTTACAAAATTCCTTTGACCTCACAGCATCTCCATCAAGCACACGTCGATAATTTTATCAGCATGTACGATATATAGCCCTAATTTTTGTAATAACCTAGTTAGTTTCAGACCAACTTAACTAATAAATGAAGGCTTCAATGACAGCATGGTGATCATTAATCTGAGGCCAAATAAAAAGAATTTTTGTTTCCTGCCTCCCAACCCCAGTGATTTTGCTAGCGCTCGTCATTTTCCTCATTTACGAATCGGTTTTCAAAATGACGAAAGTATTCCAAATCAATTTCGTCACTTAAATTTGGAAAGAGTAAAAATATTTTCGAATGAAAATACAATAATTCTACCGGTCTTATTGGGCTATTCCAGAAATAGTCTGTCCCCCCCCTATGGAAGACATTGGAATTCCAGATTTTTTTTCTTGATTTTTCTAAAATTCCAAACAAATTTTCTGTCTGGACCAAAAAATTCCAAACTTTTTGTCTGTTAGTGCACATGAAATTCCATGTATTTTCCAAAGGGACGAATAATTTCCATATAATTTTTACTGGTAGCACTGGTAGACCTATTTGGAAAATGCCCGCGATTTTTGGCTAATCTCCGCGAAACGGATAATAATTAGAGGTTCATCGTAAATTTGCTGTATTACAGAATATTATGCATGTTATCCGGAGATTTTCCGTGTCGGCGGGAATTAGCCGTTTGTCCGATAAAACGGGTGTGTATTGAGTCAGTGATAGAACCAGTGATGCGTGAGCGACGGTTATTAATAGATCGTTGTACATAGATGATTATAGAATCCGTTATGCGTGAGCGACGGTTATTAATAGATCGTTGTGATATATACAATGTTTACAGTCAGATTAAAAAAACTATCTTATTTCCCTTTTCGGTCGAGATAAAACGGTGTTTTTGATAATAAAGTTACTTACGATATAAATATCAAATGTTGTCATTGTTCATTAAAGAAAAATCTATTTTAATGTGACCAATGAACAAGATGAATACATGTGTTATCTTTGCAAAAGACAACTACAATTTTTTTAATATATGAATGGAAATCGTATTTACGTTAAAAAACGTAAACTAATCTACTATTCATGATAGATTCATAATGTGAATCGATAGTTTGGGTCAGAAACTTTGTTCTCACTTTAAAAAATTCTTCACAATTGTCATGTTTAGAAAAAAAATCAGTCCTTGTACTTATAGAGTCTCCGGAAGATACCGTAATCGGACAGGATGTCAAACTGATCTGACACTTGTCCTAGTATATTTAACACCTGCTGTGATATTGCTTGTGCAATACCAGTGGAAGGTCGTATATCAATCTGTACCCGATTGATCAGAATTTAATTTTACCTGTACATATATTTAGTCGTTACGGAGGATATCATAGATACATGTTATATATTGTATTGTAATTAATGAAGATAATTTAAATATATTATATAATAAAGACCTATTTGCATATAAATCGAACATATTCATTCCAACCAAGAAGGTTTGAAATTGAAAGTTTTCAACAAACTTTTGATAAAATCTTTCCCGTAAATTACATACGAGTCATTGGTTTATAGTTACACATTTGTAACCCTTCTAACGTCTTATTTCTTTGTGCTATTAAAAGAACTCAAAATTTTCCATATCAGATCACATTTCGTACGAGTCCTAAAAATTATAATTGAATAATCTTCTATTTTCCTTTTGACACCACGTTCCCCATAGGAGCCTCAAGATCTAATCATACCTGTCAATCATTAGCCACAAGTTGGTCCGCCAGATAGATCACTCGTGCTTTCTATTATGACATCGTTGAGAAGTTTTTGTAAATTGATTTGTGATATAAATAAAGTGATGTGAAGTTTATTTTACGGCCGATCAAAATTTGATGTGATTCGATTTTTCTTTTACACAAAGATGTTTTTTAATATGTCATAAAATACATGGAAATAAAACATTTGAGTTCGTTTTTCCCGTAAATATATTCAATAAACCAAAATTTATTTCAAAAGGTAAACATTTATAATAATTACAAAGTTATAATTTGATTTTTATTTAAGTCGGTTAATGGAAACAATAAAATGACAACGTCTTTGCAGAAATATTAATCCAGACATTAACGTACTTAGACTGTCCATTTGTTCCACTGTGTAGGACAATTTATTCACGAACTACATCATTAATAATTACTAATATAACAGTTGCTTAAATGTAAGTTGTATATTATTTATTTTTTTACAAACACGCGTTTTGGTTCCGTTCAGATTTGCTATTACAGCATGTGTAGATTCCTTGATTTTCATCTAGTTTCAGTTATATATATACTAGTTCCAGTCAGTATAGGGCTAATCATTTTGCCTTTCAACAAAGTCAACAATTTAGCATCGGACGTATACGTGACTGCGTATTTATACATCTCTATATGTTATATCTGATGTAATGGACTCCTAGTATGTTGTCCTTTTAAAGTTGGCTATACAATATTGGCTGTGCTCATTGTTGAAGGCTGTACAGTGACCTATAGTTGTTAATTTCTGTGTCATTTCTCTTGTGGAGAGTTGTCTTATTGGCAATCATACCACGTCTTCTTTTTTTATAACGTACCCGTTTTAATAGCAATGTTATATTCAAAACGGATGAGACAACCCCATGGATGACAATTATCTATATCCATGTCAAGTGGGGTTAGGTAATAGGAGCGGAACTTATTGATTATGTATGTTTGTGAGGGTCTGGATAGGATTTATAGAAGAATAGAGAACACAAATGGACAAAAAGTGCACAACATAGGACCAGAAAAGTAAAAAAAAATAGCTGCCAAGAAAATAAAGAATATAGAATAATGAGAAAAAAATATGAAGAATAGAGAAAAACAGATGACTAACAAATTAAAAGACAATTAGGATTGAAAGACCTCCCCCCCCCCCCCAATATTCAAGACCTTCGTATGTGTTCAAAGAAAATCTGCATACGTTATAGTTCCTTGCTATAAAGTTACGTTCTCAAAGGCTTTTAAGGATTATGTACCCTTGTGTTGATTAAATGCTAAACATATGGATTTTTTTTTAGAAAATCCACAGCTTTTCCCTTGGACTGTCATATTTGGCGATTCGATGCTTTATTGATGAAGGATTATTGCATTCAGTGCTAGCAATGATTTTTTTAATTGAGTTATATATGCTTAAAATATTATAACAAAAATAAAATGCTTCGGCGCTGAGCGCAGCCTGATATGACCGCAGAAGTTGAACCATGAACAGTTGGGGCAAATTTTGACACAATATTCAAGCTTATTACTGTCTGAATTAGGATTGTCAGGGGTTAAAAAAATGTGTTACAGCTCACTAGCCCAGGACTTATTGGTAGCAGGATTTTACTAGCCCTGTTGAAAGAGCTGCTAGCCCATCAAAACTGACCTGCTAGCCCGAGTATACCTTTCAAATTTAGAGTGGATGTCCCTTGTTTTGAATCCGGCATTATACACGGTATTTGATTAAATAAATCAAATGAATTTTTGTTTTATTAATTATAACAGGGATCTCTAGACATTTTTTTGGATATCCCTTGTACTATGGGTTGTTAAATATTTTCGGGCACAGAAAACATGTTCATTGATATTGTCATGTTAAACCAGTGGTTCAATTCGTATATTTGTTGTTCCCACATACAAAGCAGACTTTTTATCAGCGAGATCGGGAAAATAACGGCAATATTCACAAAACATCATCTCTTGTTTATCATCAGTAACAGTCGACCTTGCCCATGGGGAATCTTTCTGTCAATGACACTATAAATGTTTTTTTCCGCTTTTCCTGGTCGTATTTGGCATTTTTTGGGATAAATTTTCAGCCTCATTACCCCCTTCATTTACCGTTTTTCGTTTTAAAACTGACAAAGTTCCTGTGGTGGCCGTACTAAAATGTTTAGAAATAATTTGTGCATGGTTTCAAGCTCAAATTAACAGCTGTCCGACAAGACAGGTCAATATCGATCATTACATCATACACCCAAGTACCATTAATTGAAAATCTCGGCATAAGCAATGTACAATATCCCCTGTACTGAGAAATTGATATTGAAAGTACGTGAATTGCGATCAATACATGATACCGGTCCACCCAGAGTTAGTTGTTCTATTTTTAAAACATGTACAAAATCGGTTCAAATTCTTGGAATCCCGTATGACGTACGTAATTGAATCTGATTGGCTAAGATAGAATAGCGATGAGGGGATTTTCCACTTACTATTTTGGAAATGCCAAGAATTGTTTGTTACTAGTCCGTCGGGCATATTCGGTTACAAGTTTTAATTGGGTACGCACTGAAACTCGGACCGGACCGGACTCCGGACCCGGACTTTGGTATTAAACCCGGACCGGACGCCGGACCCGGACTGGATGCCGGACCCGGACTGAAAGATTTTGACCTCTTTAATGATCTTTAATGTAATTAACATTTATTGACGGTCAGGTTAAACAATATAAATAAAGAAGAATAAACTAAATTTGTACCAGAAATGAAATGAATAATATACAATAAATAGATAATTAAGTTTAATCAAAGTTTATGATTTAGAAATGTTTATTTAAATTTCTCCAAGAGTATAATATTTGTGTTTAGTCTAAAATAATCCCTTTTATTATCATTGTTTCCTGTTGTGAAAACTTTAATTGGGGCTGTTGTTACATCACTGTGAAATACATGATTTTTTCAAATTTATTTTAGTCAGTCTTTAAAATTATAAGAAGCCACAATCTTTCACCGGGATTTTTTTTACCCCAAGATGGTACAACGAATAAAATCTTGTGCGACTCCTGATTGGATGAATATAGTGTTGGAATCATTCTAAAATTTTCACTTATTTATTTATCATATATTTATGTCCTCGGAAAAATCAAT